ACTCTTGATGGACTGATGAACTTCGCGTACAGAGACACGAGTCTGCTTTACCGCGTTACGGGCCACGCGTGTTGGAGTGCCAGTGTCGAGGTCTCTTTCAAGTCGGTTTTGTGTAAATCTACGAGATGCCGGACGACATAACGGCCAAGCTGGTCAAGCGATTTGACGGCACAAATTTCCAAGGATGGAAATTTCAGATAACGGCCGTGCTAATGGCAAATGAGATACACGATGTTGTCAACGGAACGAGAGTAATGCCACAGTAATGCCGACGGCGCCAACGCAGAGCTCATGAAGGTGTGGATCCGGGATAACGCGAAAGCAACGGCGATCATTGAGTCGGCGATGGAGAACGCGCAGCTCGAGAGTGTGCTCGTCTGCGGCACTACGGCGAAGGCCATGTGGGACAAACTGAGTGCGGTGCACGAGCAGAAAACTCGAACAAGCTGGTTCTGTTGCAGCATTTTCACGAGTTTCGAATGTCCCCGTCGGACTCGGTCGTGCAATATATCTCGAAGGTGCAAAACATGGCAAGGCAGCTAACGGATCTCGGAGAAGCCGTATCGGAGGCAACGATTATGACGGAAGATCCTCGCTAACCTGACGTCGAAATACAGTATTCTACGGACGGCGTGGGACAGTGTGGAACCTGGAAGACAGACGGTGGAACATCTTCAAGAGAGGCTTATTAGAGAAGAGAGCCGGCTCGACGCGGAAGGTGACTCGACGAGCGCTCGAGACAAAACAGCTCCAAGAACGAGTCGGGAACAAAGGGCGCCGAAAAGAAGAAAAAGCGTCGTTCGAATAAGAACGTCGAATGCCGTCGAATTATCATTGTCAGGAAAAAGGACACTTCGCCAGTGAATGCCCGACGAAGCAGAGCCAAGGTGACAGCAACAACAAACAAAGCAAAGGTCAGTCAAACAGCGGATGCGCGTTCGTCGTGAGTACGCCTGAAAAGGGCGGGAAAGCGGCGACAAGCGACAGCGAGAGCCGGCAACCGGCGGTCGAACAGAGGCAGCAATTGCTGAGAGCCGACAAGAGAGACGTCTGGCTTACCGACAGCGGTGCGTCAGCGCACATTACCTTCCGTCGGGATTGGATAAAAGACTTCCGAGCGGTGAGTGGAGAGAGCATCATCCTGGGCGACGACGGCCAGTGCGAAGTTACCGGCACGGGGACAGTACGGGTCGAAAAGCTCGTGAACGGGGTGTGGGAGCGCGCAGTGATCGAGAACGTGATACTGGTGCCACGCGTGGCAAAGAATTTTTTCTCCGTCGGGGCGTACGCCGCAAAAGGGTTTCGAGTGGTCTTCGACAAGAGCAACGTCGAGATTTCGCGCAACGGTGTAATCGAAGCGTCGAGGGTGCGACAGTCAAACTCACACCGAATGTTCATTCGCAAGCCGCGGTCACGCGGGGAGGTGAATTTGACGGCGTTGGATCTGAGGCTGTGGCACAAGCGACTCGGCCACATACACAAGCGAGCGATAAGTGACCTCGTTCGGAAGGACCTAGTGAACGGAGTGAGGGTAAAGAACGCGGAAGAGTTTTTCTGCGAAGCTTGCCAGCTGGGCAAACTACACAAGTTCCCGTTCAATCGAGTGAAAGACAAAGTGGACAGACTCCCGGGCGAGATGATACACAGTGACGTGTGCGGTCCGATGTCAACCCAATCTCTCGGTAGTGCGCGTTTCTTTGTGCTGTTCATAGATGACGCCACCAGTTTCTGCTACGTCTATTTCATGCGACGGTGGACTTCCGCTCGAGCGGTCTTTGCATACGGTACTACGTCTTACGTATTTGTTACTTTGTACGCTTTTGCCGTGATTGCGTGTGTTTGGCGGTGATAGAGGTATTATCCTTACTCTAGTTACGCTCCGAAGATCCTCGTTTCTGGTTTCCTCATCATAGCGTGTGAGACAGCCAAGTTGTCGGAGTCTAACCTCCGTAACTTGTGCTTGCCCTCGGGCGAGTACGTTCCATCCCCGAGATACGAAGACATTGGAGATGATTCAGGCTTTCTTAAGGGAAGGCCCAGATCAAAGTGTTAGTATGGCATATCAAGAAGATGAAGACATGGAAGTTGATTTGGAGAACTCGTCGAAAAAGAGAGGCCACCCTACTATTGAAGAGGACAATCAATCGTCCACAA